ATCGTTCTCGAGGTATTCTTGGATTATCACAAAAGAGCTATATCGAAAAGGTACTTAAAAGATATGACATGCAAGATTGTAGACCAAATGACACCCCTGTTACTAAAAGAGACAAGTTCAGTTTAAGTCAATGCCCTAATAATGACTTGGAAATTAAAGAAATGCAGAAGATTCCTTATTCCTCAGCTATAAGGAGTCTGATATATGCTCAGGTTTGTACGTGTCCGGACATAGCGTACATTGTTAGGATGCAAGGGAGATATTTAAGTAACCCGGGAATGGATCATTGGAAAGAAGTCAAATGGGTCATGCGACATTTACAGAGAACAAAAGACTACATGCTCACATATAGGAGATCGGATCAGTTGGAGATCATCGGTTATTCTGATTCCGATTTCGCGGGATGCCAAGATAGTAGGAGATCTACTTCAGGCTATATTTACCTGCTTGCTAGAGGTGCTATTTCCTGGAAGAGTGCTAAACAGATACTCATAGCTACTTCCACCATGACAGCGGAATTTATAGCGTGTTATGAGGTATCAAATCATGGGATATGGCTGCGTAATTTTGTCACTGGACAAGTGTCAATAAAGCATATTGGAACAAACTCTATGATTACGGATCTGCTTACTAAGGGATTAATACCCAAGGTTTTTCATGAGCACACTGCTCATATGGGTGTAATGTCTCTTAAAGATATCTAGTTTCAGTAGAAGTTGGTATTTTTGCTTTTCATATTAGACACATGTACTATTGTTTTGGATACGATTTAAGGTTATAGTTATTTTTAGTTATAAAGTTATTTGGTTTATTATCTCTGAACTTATTTAAAATGATCTCACTAAGGCATCAAGGTGAACCAGTTGAAAATAGGCATGTTACAGATCACATCACATGTAAGTTTCATGCTACACATCCATGCTTGATCCATGTCATTCGGTTATATTGATATACGTGACCATTGATGGGTTTAGCTACATGAAAGTAGCGAAAGCCGCTTTAATCCTATGTTGATATGATTGATGAACGTGATTGTTTGGGGATACATTCGATAATGATAGCAAAATTCTGAGTACTCATAAGGTTATGTTTAATGCACAATTATAAGGTGACACATATAGCCCAAGTGGAAGATTGTAAGGATTTTTAATCCATCGATGGACTTATATGTGTGAATAATTGGGTGTTAAATTAAAGACTATCAAATTCGGTTAAACCCAATTAAAGTGATCTAATAAGGCTTCAATTTTGGGTTTTAATGTATCCAATTAAAGTGTGAGTTTATATATGTGTAGAGATCGGGCCCAAATCCTAATTTTATGATAGGCCGAATTAGTCAAAGTGTGTCGCTATATAAATACGGTTATGATCCCCAAATCACACGTACGTATTATTCATTCTCTTTTGCATCCCATCATAGAGAGAAAAAGGAGGTTGCGTGTAGATTTGGAAGACTATACCGCATGATTCAATTATTGCAAATAACCATGTCTGATTCAGGTACACTTCCGCTATAGTTCTTTAATTTCTTGATGATTTAACATGAAAGATCCGGTGACTTAGTTGAATATTGGTAATATTTGTGATGGATTCTTGAAATCTTGATTTCTGTCAATTAGTTAAACAATTAGTGATGATTTTCTAGTGTTTTACCAATTTGTAAAAATTAGTAGTTATTTTCTTATTAATTAGTATTTAACTGGCATTTGTAGTTTATTTTAGTGTGAAATGTCAATGAAGAGATTTTTTAAAAGAAAGTATTTCATAGAAAATGTTGATGAGGAGATATCAAATAAAATGAATTTTGATGTTAAACAACTTATTGCAGATCCTAAAATAAGGAAGAAGATGATTATCTTATTAATGTTGTCGTTATGTCATTTTTAGTATTGTCGTAATATCATTAAATTCATAACCGAAAAGTTCGATCTTGACTAAATTTTGCCCGCATTGGATAAAATTTCCGGCTCCGCCCTTGATTGTTATCGGTCCCAATCTACAAAATCTTTAAGGAAGGCACCTCAATATCACGCGGCAACATCAATTTGATTTTTTGTATTGGATATATAAGAAACATCGGATTAATTGGAATTCCACTTTGAAGAAGATAGCCACCCTTCTATTTTCTATAAAGACACAGCAAGAACAAGATGTTAAAAGAAGAAATAAAGAAATTGTCTTGTAAACATACAAAATGATTAACATGTGAGTATACGTAATTGAGTGTAGACACAAATATATTTGTCTCTTTGAACGTTCGAAGGACTCACACATGTCACAATAAGATTAAAATGTGAATATAAATAAATCGAAGGAAAGACACAAATAAATTAGTCTCTTTGAATGTTCGAAGGACATGAGCATGTCGCAATAATTTGAAAAAAATGATCAAACATAATACCTTGTTTAGGGATGACTATGATTTAAAATTAAAATTAAAGATATTGTTATAAAGAAACAAAAATTGGAGATAAGAGTGAATCATATCGTCTCACGACATGTTTGCTAATATTTGTTAAACATTGCATATTCTTGTTCTCGACTTCAGAAAATACAAAAGCAGCATATATCGTGAGGTAAGTAAGTAACTTATAAGCTTAGCCAAACATGAAAAGTTATATTATTAGGACAGACTTTCCCTTTCGCTTTTGTTTTTACCCTGCTCTTAGAAGATACGACGCCGTTTTGTAACATTTGAGTACTCCGTTTACTTGTAAAACCCTGCATTTGGATTCCTATCCCACCACCACATCATCGCCGCCGCCGGCGGTATCCAAGTAGGGCGCAAATCCAACATCTGTTTAACGTAATTATAAAAAACAATTAATGGAAGACAAGCCCTCGACGTTGAGTTCCTCCCCCACTTCCGCCAATTACACCACCCCCAAAACCACGCAAGAGCTGGCAATTGACGGCCAAAAACACCTCGAAGAAACAATTGAAGCCGCTTTCTTAATCCTTTCCGCCATGAATGACGAGCTTTGCAATCCAAATCTCTGGTCTACCCCCACCACCACCTCCGCCACCACTACTCAGCGTAATACCAGCGCCGCCGCCGCTGCTAATACTACTATTGCTAATGGCGGGCCTACCAGTATGAGTATTGGGCAACACTCAAATGGTGACGTTCTATCGGACTCGTCTTCTTCCGCTTCTTCCTCCGCCTCCGCCTCTGCCGCCCAGTCTCATCACCCTAACTTTGATATTGGGGGTGGGGCCCTCGATGAGGCCCGCCTCCGGTACAAAGCCGCTGTGGCGGCTCTGCGCTCTGTTCTCACTGCCATTTCCAATGCTGAAAAGGTAATTTTTTAGTGCGTATTATGTAATAATAGACTAGATGTGACTATACGATGAACGAGGACGTAGTGTCCAAGACTATCCAATCCTTCTAGTAAACATGCTATTGACATTTTAAGAATTCTCTACTGTATGGCCTCTGAATTCGTTAATCTTATGATAGGAAGGTAGAATGGTACTGTAGAATTCAAAATGGAAGTAGAATGGTGCCTTTCTTGGTTTATTTATATTGGTGTTTTGAATTATTATCATCCATGCTTGCTAAACTTGATGTTTATTAGTTTCATTTCTTGAATTGATTACAAGTGGACTCTTCCATTACAATAGGCAAAGGCGCCTGAAGCTATTTCATCTGTATCTCCTTCAGAGCAAACTGAAATTGAGAAGCTTGAAGAGCAGGCCTCTACCTTAAGAAAGGTATGCGATGAGACTGGACTAAAAATTTAATTTTAAGCTTGGATAAAATGTGGAAAAAAAATTCCACACACACACACACACACTATATATATATATATAGTCCCACTAAATCCGCCAGTGGTTTTCATGAATCATTTTCAGCTTGCTTGTGAGTTGCATTACTTTGCAATGGTAAATCATTTTTCGTCTATAATAATTCTCTTTTCAGCTCTAATATTGTCACTGCTTTAAGTTGCATTGCCCAATAGGTGAAGAATTTTTTTGTTTATTCATTTTACTTAAAATTTTGAGTTGCCATGTCACACAAGAAGGTTATATGTTAACTACCTTGTCCCTTCTACTCGTCATCTTAAAAGTCCATCTCATTTATTGTTGTTGTGCTTATGGAAAGACATTTGACTGTATTAAAGTTTCCTAGTGCTTGACTGGGAAACACAAAGAATTTAAGGTTTGGCTAAGCTTAAAATTTTAACTTATAAGCAAAAAAGCAAGTTTAAAAATGAATAATAATTTTAATTAATTAAAACTGGAAATAATTTACTTATTTAGATAGTAGGTTACAGTGTTTTTTTTTTTTTTTTGAAAATCAGTAATTTTTTGACTTTAAAATAAGAGAAAAATGGAAGTACCCCTAAAACTTTCATGCTTTTACGTGTTTAAATTAAAATTTTGAGAGTCTAGTACTACGAGCTTTGTCAAAGAGTGCCCAGCTTGCATAGGGAATGGAAGCCAAATTTCAATTTAAGTTTACCATATGCCTTAAAAGGATTTTGTAATGAGTCAATGAGTTGCTTGGCAAAATGGTAAGGTGCACGGTGGTATCACTATACACCTTATCATGGTGGGTTGAACGTGGGTTGCTTGTTTGTACCTCTATGCACCCTACCATTATGCCAATTAATCATTCATTCTTATAAAATGCAAACAAAATCATTTATGGAATGCGGTAAACTTAAATTCGACTAGTATTAGACTTCCATTCCCCACATGGGAAGGCTCGTATATTGGTTGGGCTCATAGTACTATACCATCAAAATTTGAACTGTAGACATAAATGCAGGAAAGGTTTCAGGTATAGAAGCAAATAATCAAAAGTTATGTTTTACTAATTATCAAGCTTATCGAAATGATGAATAAAAGTTAATCTGTCATTGGGAGATGACATTTGATGTGAAGCATCTATTCTTAACTAGAGGATATAGATGAGGCTGTCTGTCGATTTTGTCTGGGTAGAAAGCGCATGTCCTTGGTAAAAGTCATGATCGCAGCTATGCCTTCTTCTGTATTTGTTATAACTGGGAAGTGTTGTTATTTCAAAACTTGATTATGATTATTGGGGTTTATGGTCATTTTGGATATAGATACTGTGAAGATGGAGGGAGTGATTAGAAGATCTTTAGAACGTCTAACTACGTATGTATCTGAACTTTAGTCTGTAGTTTTACTGAGTCTGTTCTGGAAAAATTTGTGCATCCATCTAATCATCTAAAGAAGTCGTTGATATGGAATTAAGTCTTTATATTAAGTCGTTTACTGATTTATTTGTCACTTATTTTGTGTTGAGGGGAAGGGCGTTGGGGTGATTATGGAAGAGAATGGCCAACAGTATATTCAATATCACCAGAGATGATATTGTTCTTTGACTTGTTCAATCCAGTTTAATGCTTATTCATAGTAGTCTTACAAGATACCATTCTATTGTATCTTTTCTGCAATAACTACTGACTTATTAAACATCTTTACTTTCTTAGGAGCTCACGAACAAGAATAAGCATCTGAAGCTTCTGATAGACCAGCTTCGAAATCTTATAGCCGACATATCTACTTGGCAAAGTCCTTGTTCAGTATGAGTTCAGCTGGATTTTGCAATATGATTTATGGAAATATAGATTTTTTCAAGGTGTTGCTATGTTGCTGAACTCTTTTCTGATTTTGACTTCACTATCAATGTGTTATTGTTTTAATGTAGCTGAGAGTATTCCTGGTTTACCCTTGTTTTAGTCAATGTAAGTTTGATAATATTGGTATAGCCCTTGATGATAATGTATAAAAGCTTGGCAGATTAGCTTTAGCTTGGTTTCCGTTTTCCATTTTTCATGGAAGAAATTCCAAAATTTTTCAGAAAGATGAAATTGTGGCACTGCTGATGATGGGAACTGGTTAATTAATTCTTAAATGTTTTTTCATCAAAATTAATTGATAGAATATGAAAAAGTTTCGAAAATGGGTTCATATATTGCTCCCCTTCCGTCTCTCAATATGTTGATTGATGGATCAGTGGATTACAGTTCGAAAAAACCTTGTTATAATTTTGCTTGAACTTGGTTCGGTTAAGGGATTTCGGGGCTCGAGTTCAGGTCAATTTAACTTATTGGCTCACATTCAAGCTGATATCACTCTTGTGCCTGTTTGCAGAAGTTCACAACTAGACTGATTTGCAACAAAAGCTTCCATCTTTCAACCGGAGTCGTTTTCTAGAAAGCTATGGAAAGACGTGATAAACTTTAGTCCTTAGCATGTAGTCATTCTATTCAGTCCATTCGATGTTGTCAAACCAGTCATTCAAGTCATTGGCAAAAACCCGAGTAAAAATTGTTTGTATATCTCCATACTTGTTCCACAATTCACTGCAAAGAATTAGTATATAATGTTGAGAAATCACCATTGCCGTCTGAAATAAAATAGTCAACCTTTTTCCCAAATAAAAAGTTCCAAAAATAAAACGTTGGAACCTGGAAGAGAACTCCTGTCAATTGTTAAATAAATAAATCTTTACACAAGCTACATTAAAATAGCATCAGCAAGATACTGAAAGAAGTTGAGGTAGAAAATGGTCCAACACCATCGTTTTCTAGTTTCTTTCACACCACCCAATTTGCAAGAAATCAACTGCTGATTCAAACTGCAGAGAGAATCGAACAACTGTTCGCATCTGAGTGAAACAATGGTCGCCCTTTTCCACACGATTCATGCTGGAGAATCCGTTCTCAGCAGCCATCTCTATGTGAGTTCTCTTCCAAGCTGGTGCAGGTTTAAATGGGATGTAAATGTTCATCTAGCAAAATCCAGCTATAGGAACAAATGTGCCTGCCCTTGTTGACATCGGGTGGCAGCTCAGATCCTCACCCCCTTTATGGTATAGCACTTTCTGCACATAGTATATCAGGTAGCATTGTGAGGCTCGGACCACCCCTTCGTCCACTTCTGTTATCCAGGCATCGTCACATTTGTACCACTGGTTTCTTAAACGCAAGTAAGTCACATAATGGCCAGATTCCAACATCCCCGAATGTGTAACCACAGCAAAAACCTCAAACTCTGTAGAAATGTCAGATTCATCGCTGTCAAAGGAAAATATTCTGTTTCCAAGTCTTTTCTTGACAACAGAAGAGGATAAATATGGCTTCATGTCTAAGGAGAAAGGAAACTGCAAATATTGATCAATTTTTCTCGACATTTTTCTAACTGTTGAGTGTCCAAATCGTTTTATGTGCAAACACAACACTAATGGAAGGCTTTTGATGGACATTTGCTTCAGTGCATCATGTTTCTCCTTACAATTTTCACAGTACAGTTTTTGATCTGATCCCAACTTTTCAGGTCTTGTGAAGAGGTCCAAGCAGCCTGCCAAGGTAGAATCAGCTGTGCTTGCATTTTGCTTGTTTGGCTTACTCTTACAACTGGATGGGTAGCAAGGGTCCATATTCAAGTTGAGAGAAATGTCCACACAAGGATCATAAGTAGTCGAAGTAAATCCACATGACGTACATGTTACATCTGATCTCAGTAGCCCGGAGAAAACTCTGTGAGCAATACACTGGCAATCTCCATTTTCTGTGTTACAAAAGCTCTTCCAATCAGTGTAACAGAATCTATAAGACATAAAATTCTTGAATCTGAACAGTTTTCCAGAACAAACCTATTTTTTGGTTTTCTTCAATTTGTCTGATTCATTCACAATTCAATTCCAAATGACACCCAAAAACATATAATCACTTCACAAATATAACAGAACACAAGATTTTTTTAATTATTTTTATATAAGATCCCCACCATTGGCACCTACACAACCAAATAGACACCTTCTCGTGCATGTCAATAACTTACACAAACACACCCTAAATCTCATCCTGACAACTTCAAAACAGACATAACAAAATCTTAGTATCTAGTTACCTTTAACTATGTTATTAGCTTTCCTCAATTTCTGATGGATTATGTCCAATATCGAAATAAAGAACTCATGAGCATCTTGCTGCTCATAACAGGCAAGATTTTCTGAATGCTGCCACCAGCTGCAAAGAACAAAATTCATCATAGTCAGATTAATCTACTAAGGCAATTAATTTCATTAAACATACAACCACCAAGAAAAAGTGATTATAACAATATAAGAGAACAAGAACCTATGAATAAACTAAAGTTGAGCATTTGTTTAGAGGATTCATGGGATGCATAGAAATCTCTGTTGGGATTTTAAAATGTAATGCTCACAATTACAAACATGAAAAACTTCCTTGTCAAGCGGAAAATCATATTAAATAAACTGAGAAACCTTACCAAATAAACTTCATTTCCTATGTTTATATTTCAAATTATAGATCTTAAAGGAGATCACCATCCAAAGTCTCAATTAACCAATTAACTCTGCTACATTCTAACTTGAAACAAATGGGGCATACACCACTCATATTTTACATGGATTAAGCATATAGCAACAAATATCATAATCTAAGATAACCAAGAAGTGCTTAAAAGTAATAGAGCTCAATCATGCGAATTTAAACGAACCTGTAAAGAAATGGAGCTGGACTGTAAGGAGTCCGATCACCAGAAAACACAGCAGAAAAGATGACATCAATATCACAAGGCAAACAAAATCGATCTGTCAACCTTATCCTACATCTCTCGTGACTGTGTCTATCACTAAGGAAATAATTCCTCAAAGGGGGCGCATGAAGCAATGCTTGCAACACGGAGTTCATAAAACAAGTGTTCCCAAGATTATTAAAACCCCTCAATCCCAAAGGGAAACATGACTTAGATCTCTGATCCCTAGTCAAAACCAATCTTTTCATGTACTTCGAATCCAAATCCATCCCAGAATCAAGCCTTTTCCTCTTGCTCAGCCGCAACCCACCACCCATTACAACCCCATTTCCACTTCTTGGTAACCCCATTAAGTGTTTGCTCATCACAGAGTTATCAAAATCAGGATCATACACCTGATCACAACATACACAGCAATAAAGCTCAGCCCTTTCGATTTCCACAGCAATCTCATGACCACCACAAGATTGACTGTGCAAAAGGGCATGATTTGATTCAGGAGACGTGCAACATGACATTGACGAACAGATCAAACACTTAAAAAATCTACCTTGACACCCTGAGCAAAAACTGCATATGGGCATCTCTGTTTTTGATTTATCAATCATTGTTCTTCCATAAGGATTGATCTTGAAAAAATCTTGGATCAAATTATAGCCCAGTAAACCATGCTTCAGCTTATAATTTTCAAGGTGCTCGCATGGCTTTGGGGCTGTGCAAGCAGAGTTCCTTGATGACATACTGATAAAAATTGAATCTTTTCTTCAAGAAGAAAAATAAAATCTTGGTTTTGTATCACAATCCTCAGATTTATTCGAAGGTAATAGCTATATGATAATCAATGGTTAATTTTTCTTAATAACAAATAAATAATAAATATAAGACTCTAGAAACAATCAACACCAAAAAAGGGTTGATCTGATAATGGATTTGAAGTATTTATATAATAAAAATTAAAGGTAAAATGAAATTTAACTGGGTATCAATCAGTTTAACGAGAGGAGAAGGAGGAGGAGGTGGTGGTAGTGGTGGTGGAGGGGGAGGAGGAGGAGGAGGCGCTATTTTGTGCCCCAGAGACCGACCTACTTTTCTGGCGTGGTACAGAACACCTGTGCTTTTCTACCTGGCTGATCTTTACCGTTAAAATTTGATCATCAAGTTGGTGATGTGAGGCTGGCTATGAGACTGTACACCAATTTATCAAATTCCAGAACGGGCCTTTTGGTGGCATCGCACATTGGTTGAGGCTTTTTAGCTGATTTTGGTGTCGGCTGTATTTCTTTTTGTTTGACAAAGTTTGTAATCAAAATTTTAGTGAATTTTGATAAAAATTGATAAAATAGCTATGACTAAAAATTCGATAAAAGTTATACATTCATAAATTGTCCAGTTGAAATTAAAATGTGATCCACTAAAGAGTTGATGAAGTTTTAACAAGACTTAATTGGAAATTTGGTCATTTGGTCCTTCCTCAACCAAATTATATGAATGTAGAGTTGAGTAAGCAAACAAAGAAAAGTATAGATAATTAAATTTAAGCCTTCCCGATTTTCTTGTTGAATTTTACTTGAACACTATGAAAAACAATTGAAAAATAAATAGCCAAAGGCTCTTTACTCTCTGACACATAATTTTTACGTGACTTTAAGATCGTGTTGAATTTGGATATGACTCTTTAAAAGTTGGACAATCGTCAATTTTCTACCCGTTTGGCCCCCATTCATTTTGATTATAATGGGAGGAATAATTTTTTCTTCTTTTTGAAAAATGAATGGTTGTAAAAGAATGAAAAGTTTTTGATTTACGTATAATATTATTTTATTGAAAATTGTGTGATTGAAAATAAGAGAGAGAAAAATTTAATTTAATGAGATGTAATGCGAGCCAAATGAGTGTGGAGTAGAAGAAATTAATTCATATCTCTAAATTTTAGTGATGGAGTAGAAGAAATTTATTCACAAAAAAATATGCTATCCTTGTGACTTTGGATCTTGTAGTCACTTTAGCAAATTTCCCTTGTTTTGTAAATGATTATTGAGTAACAAGATACAATCATGTTTAGAATATTGGGGGCAATATGTTAAAACTCACATTTCACATGATAACTATTTTGAAGTTGGCTATATAAATATTTTTTCATCATTCTTTTCAATCCGCTGCTATGTATATAAGAGTGTGACACAAACACGACAAAATTGTACCCACCTAGTGCAATCCACTTCTTTAGTTGGAGCTTGTAACTCTGAAGAAAGAAGCATAGATAGACATTTATTTTTGATATGTGGTAATGGTACCATATTTGAGTTATTATGTTGTCCAAACATACCATATCCCAAGATGTACCAATTATCCAGCATTATTTTGAAGTGGCACTTCATATTATTATGTGATTTCATGAGCTATGGGGTTTGCTAATTTCAAACAAAGATCTTTAAAATTTTTGAAGATTCAACCCGGAGAAGTATCTCGTAGTCCAAGAAGAATTCCTTCTTTTAGACACTACTCATATGACTTGTAGGAAGGATGGAATAAAGTTAAAACCTTTGTCAATGTAGCCACAACTACATCATAGTTGTCCCATAATCCTGCCCAATTCCATGTTATCCTCCTCAGAGACAACCGCATCTGAATTGATCCGGAATTTTCCTTTTTTCTTGTGATTAGCAGTAGCAATTATGGACATTGCCACCACATTTGTCTACTGAAGGAGACCAGCATAATATTAACAAAAGTAGCCTTTCCTCTCTTCTTCCCACCATGAAGCACTAGTTTCGATCCCGGATGACAACATATAAGCCACTCTCCCGCTAGCCTCTCCTTGATTTTTTGCTCTGAAATTCCCATCAACACATTCCTCATGTGTTGAATATTGTTCAAAATCAAATTAAGTGAGCTGATTATTGGGCCTTCAATGAAAAAATAAAATAAAATGGAATGGATAAAATAAAAAATGGGAATTATTTGCCCATGCATGTACATGGGCCATTTTTCCATGCGCACGCATGGTTCGTATTGGCCGGAACATAAACAAAAATGCCTTTACCATGTGTATGCATGGTTTATACTATGTGTATGCACAGGGTTAAAAACTAGCTATTGGCTGATTTTTCAACTAGAAATTTGGTGTCCTTCTGGATGAAAATTTGTCTCTTTTCATCATGTTTTGGCACCATTTCGTGTGGTACTAATTGAGACCTATGAATAAGTGGTTAATTATCAATACATAAAACATTAAAACCACTTAAGATCAAATTCCATTCCAAAATATTAAAAAATCATTTCTTTCATATTCAAAATTCTATTTTATGTTCTTGAGTTTTGAAGGTATTTCACTAGTGTTTAAGTGTTTATTCCTTTTCAAAACTTGATAAATTCTGCAAATCATTTGCCAAGAGCCCTTTTAAGCATCAAATTCAATTCGAAAGGGGGCAAATATTGTTTGATGACAATGATGATATGTTTGAGCATTTTTTCTTTGAAGTTCTTGATTCTTTTATTTTATTTCTTTTCATTTCCTCTTATTTGGAAATATAATTCCAACAATCTCAAAGGATATTTGCAATGGAGAATGAAACTACTATGATGACGATCAAGTTGATGAATCAAGAACTCGTTCGTTTGGACCATTTTGATGGGACGGATTTTACAAGGTAGCAAGACAAGTTGAAGTTTCTTCTAAAGGTGTTGAAGATCTTCTACATTCTTGATCCGGAGTTGGCACCACTACTAGAACCAGCAAATAGAGACATTGATGCTGTAAGAGTCGAAAGATAAAAACATCAAAAGGATGAATTGATTTGCCGCGATCACATAATGCATTATCCAATCGATTGTCTAATCTCTGCACCAGCATATCTTCGATAAAAGACATTTGGGATGTGTTGGAAAACAAATATAAAGTCGAAGAAGAAGGTACAAATCAATTTCACTAAGGTATTTTGATTTTAAATTCCTTGAAAATATTCCTTTCTTTCCCCAAGTGCATTAATTACAAGTTATTGTCAATAAGTTGAAGGTAGTAAAAATTAAAATTTCGGAATCTTTGAAATTGGGAGCAATCATTTTGAAACTTCTGAAAAAACTTGGAAAAGATAGCAAAAGAAAATTATTCATAGTTTTGAAAATTACTCTTTAGAACAAGTGCAGAAACATTTTCGAATTGAGAAAGAGTCAAGCGCAAGAGATCAGAATAACAGTTCTTATGAAAGCACTTTAAAGGCCAATACCGTGCAGAAGATCGAACTTTCAAACAAATCCAACAAGAGAAAGGCTTCTAAAAACCTTGACAAGTTTAAGAAAAAGTCCGGGAAAGGTTGCTTTATATGTGGAAAACCCAGATATTATGCAAAAGAATGTCAATATCAAAAACAAAACAACTTCGAAGGAAAAATGAACTCCATTAAAGAAGATAACACTATGGGTACCGTGAGTGAGATCAATGCTATCAAGGGAAAAAGATCAAGAGATTTAAATGAGTAATTAAGGTCACTTCAAAATGATTGGAAAAGGAAATGTAGAGATTATATTCACTTTTGACAAGACCGTTACCTTAACAAATACATTACATGTTCCTTATATGAATAGGAACTTAGCAAGTGGTAATCTCTTAGGAAAATTGGGCATACAAAGTGTTTATGAGTCCGGTAAACTTGTACTATCCTTAAATGGAAAATTTGTTAGAAAAGACTATTCTAGTGAATGAATGATCAAGCTTTGTATCATTGACAAGTTGATTGATAATAAAGTTGAGTTTGCTTATTCGATTGATTGATTTATTCACTTTATGATATTTTAGATTATGTCACATAAGTAAAAGTACCATAAAACGAATATTAAAATATGACTTAATTTCTTATAAAGAAAATGATGCATATTAATGTAAAACATGTGTAGAATCTAAAATGATAAAGAGGCCATATCAAAGTGTGAATAGGATTTCTAAAATTTTAGAATTAATTCATACGGACATATATGAATTGAATGGTATGTTAACTTGAGGCTAAAATAGGCATTTCATTGCCTTGATCTATGATCACTCTAGATACACCTATGTTTATTTAATGAAACATAAATATGAATTTTTTGATATATTTAAAACATGTAAAAATGAAGTTGAAAAGCATTTAAGTAGAAAATAAAAACTATAAGAAGTGATAGATGAGGCAAATATTTTTCTAATGATTTTAATCTATTTTGTGAACGACAAGGTATAGTAAATCAATGTTCTGTACCTAAAATACTCGAACAAAATGATTTGGCTGAAGAAAAAAAATAGAACATTAGTTGAAATGATAAATGCTATGTTGACTTATGCTAAGTTGCCATTTAATTTATGGTGTGAAGTATTGTTGAGTGTATGTAAAATATTAAATATGATTTATTCTAAATTTACAAAGGTTTTTTCTTTTGAATTGTAAAAAGGAAGAAAACCAAACATTGACTATTTCAAATTGTGAGGGTTTTTGCATATTGTAAAAACACAAACCCTGATAGGACCAAGTTAGGTCCAAGAAGTATCAAATGTGCCTTTGTTGGTTATGCTAATAATAGTAAATCATATAGATTATTAAATTTGAATACCAATGTAATAATTGAATCTATTTGAAAAAGCAATAGTTCAACCCAACCAACACCTAGAGAGGGGGTGAATAGGTGTTTATGCGGAATTAAAATAATTAATTAACTAATGCAACAAGTCACATCAATTATACATTGCCTAGATTCATTCACATACTTTATCTACCTAAGTTGAATTACCGGTTGAAAAATAAATAGCAGAAAGCAGTAAAAACACAGCAAAATGTTGACGGAGAAAACCCAACTGGGTAAAAACTCCGGGCACAAGCTAGTAGAGATCCACTATAGAAGGTATTGACTTACAGTACGTCAGACATTATTGATTCTAACAATATTCTGACCTCCTTACTGTATTGACCACAGCTATCCTGGATTTTGCAGATCTGCGCCAAAATCCCAGCTTTGAATATCTTCTACTTCCTGTGAATCACTAAGCTCTCCAGTTCTTTAAGCAATTTCCTTCCCGGATCCTCAAACAGATGATCTTCTGGAAGTTTATATGGAGATATGAAAGGGTGTTTTGGTTTTGTGAGGGTTGATGTTTTTATTCAAAGAACCATGAGAATCAAAGATGAAAAAGATGAATTTATTGTTGGTTCTTGATCCTTTGGAAGTTGAGAGGAATTGTTGTTTTAATGTTTGCCAAGGTCACATTAGA